AAGGCATTAATATTTTGGCATTTATTTATTACACTCTATAAACGGAATAGCAAGATCAACTTTTTTTGAGATACAGTCTCACTCCGTCACCTAGGCTGGAGTACAATGGCGTGATCTCGGCTCACTGCAAGCTCTGCACCCCTACCCTCGCAGTTCAGGCGATTCTCGTGCCTCAGCCTCCCGAGCAGCTGGAATTACAGGCACATGGCATCAAACCCAGCTAATTTTTGTATTTCAGTAAAGACAGTGTTTCACCATGTTGACCAGTGTGATCTCAAACTCCTGACTTCAACTGATCCACCTGCCTGGGCTTCCCAAAGTGCTGGGATTACAGGCATGAGCCACAGCGTCCAGCAAGATCAGCGCTTGAACAATGGTCCATGAAAAATACAAAAACACAGGACAACTCATTGAATAAACCTCCATTATCTTTCTAAACACTTAAGTAATTCAAGGTGTTTCTAAGTCAATCATTTTCAATTATCAACACTATACTTTAAAAAATACCAAGGGGCGGGAAGGAATCTCCTAAAAAATAATTTTAATATCTGTTGTAATTTATATTTTTATAAACTACCAGAGCACAGAATACAAATATATCACAAAATCTCATTATAATACTGTCTTCCAGGTCCATCCATGCCAAGGAGTGGTCTTACAGATGATTTCCAATCTTTTTGACAGATTTTCGTAAATAAACCCCCTGGACTTACACTGAAAATGGGTCAGCTCTACACAACCAATATACAGTAAGGTACCCAAACATTAACTAAAGGCAAATCATATTGACTATTAAATAGTTTAGAGAAACATAGTAAAAACGTAAAGGTTCTGACAAAGGGAGATAACAAAGGAAAAATAATAAAAGAGCAGTAAGAGCTATTCATCCATCCAACATTTTCTTTCACCTGCTATGGCTCTTCACTACTTACCATGCCCTCAAAGCCAACTCTGTAAAGGTTCTTAGCACCATTATCCCAGAGGACATATGCTGCACTATGTGGGCTTGATGCACTCCAGTCCTGGATTTCTGTTACCTAACAGACATTTTTTGAGAAAAGAAGTTTTTTAAAGGGGAGGGAAGAGCTTAGTTCTTTTCATTATTACATGTAAATCTTAAAAATATTTCATCTAGCAACCTGTGGAACAGGATCATGAAAAATACTTATTTGCCAAATATGTCACTCCTAACATATATTTAAATTATCACTAGAGCCATATTTTTCCAGAATTATAAGGTAATTTCTAAAACCACTGTAGAAATGTTAAATCAAGAGGCTTGGGGATTACAGTGATTGATTATTAGAAAATAGAATTTGATACAAAATTTAAAATATTTTTAATCTTAAAGGGATTCCTTTAAGAACAGTTTTGTTTTTTGTTTGTTTGTTTGTTTTTGAGATGGAATCTCGCTCTTGTCGCCCGGGCTGGAGTGCAGTGGTGTGATCTCGGCTCACTGCAACCTCCGCCTCTCGGGTTCAAGCTTCTCCTGCGTCAGCCTCCTGAGTAGCTGAGATTACAGGTGACTGCCACCATGCCTGGCTAATTTTTGTACTTTTAGTAGAGATGGAGTTTCACCATGTTAGCCAGGCTAGTCTCAAACTCCTGACCTCAGGTGATCTGCCCGCCTTGGCCTCCCAAAGTGCTGGGATTACAGGTGTGAGCCACCACGCCCGGCCAAAACAGTATATTATTTTAAGCCCATTACTCAATATGAAATTTTAAATTCCCAAAATGATTCAAGATAAACCTTTTTGGTCAGTTAAAAATTAACAAGCACAAAGCTCTTGAAGAGCCTTGGTGGCAATGTTTAAGTAGGTCTTGAGTTGCTTTTGCTCCTCCAGCAGTATCCCACAGTTGCAGGCCACCTAAAATGGCACGCCTACCATGGAAATTCAGACACTATCTCCAAGCCCCACACCCAACTAGTCTGATTCTTGAATTCACTGGATTAAAATTAAAAAAAAAAAAATACTGGGGTTGCCATTGCTTTAAGGCCTAGAATCACACGCAGGTTGAGTGTACTTATCTGAAATACTTAGGACAAGAAATGTTTTAGATTTCAAATTTTTTCAGATTTTGAAATATCTGCACTGTACTCAGAGCATCCCAAATCCAAAAATTTGAAATTCTAAATGCTCCAATGAGCATCTCCTTTGAACATCATGTCAGTGCTCAAAAAGTTTCAGATTTTGGAGTATTACGGGTTTCAGATTTTTTTATCTGGAATGTTCAACCTGTACACAAAAATGACAAACAGTATTCAACTTGGACCTTCTCAAGTAAACCTGACTACAGCAAAGAGTGGGAAGCTGTACACATGCAATTCATATTACTCTTCTCCATCTTGATACTTACAATCACAGCCATCCTTCATAGTTACTTAGAATGACAGGCTGAAGTATAACTTTTAAGGTATACACTTAAAAACTATTACTTTAAATAAGATATATAATGACCATTCTTTTTCATCCTGTACTAAAGAAACAGTTTTGTAAGCCAGGTATTTCATGATGTATTTGTGGAAATAAAAAGGTTTTATGTTTAAGATCTGATGAATCACTTGAAACGTATTTTAAATTGTTAGTATATTAGTCCATTTATTCTTTTAAATTTTGACATACATTACACATTATAAAATATAGCATATGTAAATTTGTTTTTTTTTTTTTTTGCTCGTCACCCAGGCTGGAGTGCAATGGCACGATCTCAGCTCACTGCAACCTCCGCCTCTGAGGTTCAAGTGATTCTCCTGCCTCAGCCTCCCAAGTAGCTGGGATTACAGGTGCCCACCACCACGCCCAGCTAATTTTTGTATGTTTTTTTAAGTAGAGACGGGGTTTCGCCATGTTGGCCAGGCTGGTCTCGTGATCATGGCCTCGTGATCCACCTGCCTCAGCCTCCCAAAGCATATATAAACTTTAAAGAAAAAAATAAACGGAACACCCATGTAATTATTACCCAACCTAAGAAAAAAAATATAACCAATACTTTTCAAGTCCCCTATGTCCATCTCATCAATCCCATACTCCTGCCTCCCATTAGAGGTAACTACCATCCTGAAGTTAAAGTCCACCATTTACCTTAATTTGCTTTATGATTTCTGCTCTACTAACCACTATATAACCTTCCAAAGTAACAGTTTCTAGCACTCGAAGGTAAAACATGCAATCTGTAGTAAAAAGTTCCTTCTGATTCTAATATATTCAGATTTAACTTCATTTGTTTTCAAAAATGTGATGCTATATTAAGTCTGTATTTCATAGGATGAGTAAAAAGCATTTAACTACCTAAAAAACAAAGACAAATTTTGTTTAAATAAAATTTACTTTAAATTTCAAATTACTTGAAATAGAAGTAAGTTCATTAGTCAAGGTCCAAATCATTAAACGAAATTCCTTCATTTTTAATATGACTTGATTTATTACTGAGGGGGAAACAAAGTGGAAGGCATAAGAAAGTAACTATAGTAATTTCACATGCAAGGAACAGTTGCTAAAACCACTAGGTAGAATGTTGCCAAGAAACTCTGTAAAGGATACATCTGACAAAATTTGCACCTGTTCATCAATCTTAACATCACTAATAGCAAGATCATCAGACTTCATGTGCCCCTTTATGTGATACAGTAGAAAATATACAGCATCACATACGAGGTATGTTTGCCAAAATAAAATTGAACCTGAATCTAATCAAGCCTCTAGCTCTAACAACTAGTTTATAGGAAATACAAAGATTAAAAGAACAAGTTAAAGAAGTTAAAGAATACTATAAAGAATCAATTGGCCAAATAGAATCTGGTTTCTTCAACAAATAAATGGTATTTTTTTAAAGTTAATAATTGTTGAAGTTGGGTATGAGTGCATGGAATTTATTATACTATACTTTCTACTCAAGTGTATGTCTGAAATACTCCATAATAAAGAGTTAAAAAAAAATTATGATCTAGTATACTTAATCATACTTGTATAAAAAACAGCTTTAAAAGACTAACATGTATAGCAAGACTTAAGAAACCCTTTAAGAACAGGCTGGGCACAGTGGTTCATGCCTGTAATCCCAGCACTTTGGGAAGTGGAGGCAGGAGAATCGCTTGAACCCAGGAGTTTGAGACCAGACTGGGCAACACAGCAAGACTCCATCTCTAATATACATTAAAAAAACAAAAAGGAAGAATACACTACATACAATGAATATGGGTTACATCAGGGGAGGGGGATAAAGCATCCAGCACTGAAGGGGAAAAAGGGATGTTAACTTTCTTCATTCACATACATAGGCCAAAACAAAAAAGTCAGACAATAGAAGTCACATTTGGTCTTAAAAATGTGCTTAATAATGTTACTCTAAAGATTTATTTTATGAAGTTCTCTCACTTGGAGTCACATGTACAAGACGGTTTCATTTCTTTTTCATTTTGTTCTTTTCGTTTGTTTTGAGATGGAGTCTTACCCTGTCACCCAGGCTGGAGTGCAGTGGCACAATCTTGGCTCATTGCTACCTCTGCCTCCCAGGTTCAAGCGATTTTCCTGCCTCAGCCTCCCTAGTAGCTGGGACTACAGGCGTGTACCACCATTCCTGGCTAATTTTTGTATTTTCAGTGGAGACAGGGTCTCACCATGTTGGCCAGGCTAGTCTCAAACTCCTGATCTCAAGTGATCCACCTGCCTCAGCCTCCCACAAGTGCTGGGATTACAGACATGAGCCACCATGCCTGGCCCTCATTTTGTTCTCAAAACACAACATGTGTTAAATCAAAGCAAACCAAAAATGTAACACGAATGACTCAAAGCCTCAAGAATGCCTACTTTTATCCCAAAAAAAGTGCCAATATAGCAAAAAACAGAAAGTTCCATTTATGTGGCTTCGAACAGCAAATGCCTTCAAAAGCTGATGAGGAAAGATGACTTCCAACCCCCTCTGACCACATAATTAACTATGGGGAAGACTATAAAGTCAATTTTTCAAAATAAAAGTATTAAAATGTTACTTCTCACATACTCTTTCAAAACAAGTTACCAGAATGTGTGTTCTACCAAAAGAGATGGTAAGCTAAGTAAGATGATATAATGGGATACAGAAAACATGAGATCCAGTCAGGAAGAGAGGCAAAGGCATCTTTGTTCATCACAGGGCTTCAAAGGGAGCTTCCAGGATGATTGCTGGGCACCAGGTATAGAAAGTGACCCGTCCAGATTGCAGCCGTGTAATACGTGGGGGCCAAACAAGTTGAAGGCTCTTATCCCTACTGCCACTGTACCATTTTTATTCAACTGTGGACACACTGCCCAAGTGAACCTGACTCACAGTCTCAAGTGTACTTGGCTTATTTGGACTATGTAATGATGACATTCCCACTCTCCTCTTCACCGCCATTCCCTGCCACCTAGACCAGCTGAGGTCTCTCATTTCACCACACAGAATATTCTGCTTTGACCTACTCCTAAAACTCTGAGCCCACTACACTATCTGCAAAGGGTAACAGAGGTAGGCGGGCTAGATAACAGCGTAATTGTCCACTGTCCCTCAGAAAAAGACCTTTGAGGGAAGATAATATAAAACAAGTCAATTCAAATGAAATTTGAATAGCAGGAAAGTCGAGGACATGAGACACTGCTTAGGGAAGACTGGTCCAAATGCATTCAGAAAAGCATGCTAGGTAACAAAATGACAATATGAAACCTGAAGGTGGGAAGGTAAAACCTATCTAATGACCCTCTAAGAAACATCAATGCTTATAAAAAGCAAGAACAATCTTTCTACTTCCAGAGAAAAAAGAAATCAAGATTTTAAAAATTTTTACTGGCATAGAAAACAATGGACCAAGAAATTCATTTACAGTAGTGATAAAAAGCTTCTGAACACATATACTCTAGAATACATGATGAATTAAGAAAAATACTGTACCTTTCCCCTACGTCCATTTCCTCCATCTTGATCTTCCCACTGCCAGTCCACTCCTCGCACCACTCTGGCACCTGCAAAGATTCCTCTGGCTGTAATCTTCTTAGATTTCCTACGAGACTCTAACAGAACCCTAAAAATAAAGTTATTTATTTTCAAGTTTATGTAAAAATAGGTAATAATAATCTACTTTTTAAAACAAAATTATAAAAATGTTATTTTGAAAGTAAAAGGATTCTTAATTGTTCTGGTTACTTCCATAACAGCATGACACAGGAATACCTTTTATATTCCACAAGTGATGATGACGATGGCAGTAGTAGTCGTAATAATAATCACAGCTAACTTTTACTGAGCTTTTATTATATAATATGTAAAAGCACTTGCATAGGAGTAAAGTGTGTTACACTCCTTAAGAGAAAGTTACCACTGTATTACCCACTTTATAAATGAGGAAACTCAGTCTCAAAGAAGTAATGTGCCCAAGGCCACAAAAGTTCAAATGTAATAGACTCCACATATGATCATAGTCTAAGCAGTTCAGGGTATCTATCACTATACTCTTCACTACTGTAGAGGTGGCAAACTCAAATTCTCTATAGCTTCCAGGTGAGTAATATAAATGACAGCCTAAGAAAGACAGCACTACAGTGGCAAATGGCACTTGACCTCAGACTTAGGAAGGTAACAGGGAATGGCAAGGACTTTGGTTGACTCAAAAGCATCATCAGTCTAAAGGATCCAGTCTAAAGGGCTCCACTGCTTCAACAAACTGTTGCCAGGAACAAACGTAAGCCCAGTATTGATAGTCTTCTGTATGGGGGGGGAGGGGAGCAGGGTGTTCTATGAATCCATCAACAGATTTTTGTGTGAAATCACCTGTTTTTTAAAACTAGCCATTATTCTGGCCAGGCGTGCTGGCTCACGTCTGTAATCCCAACACTTTGGGAGGCCGAGGCGGGTGGATCACGAGGTCAGGAAATCAAGACCATCCTGGCTAACACAGTGAAACCACATCTCTACTAAAAATACAAAAAATTAGCTGGGCATGGTGGCGGGCGCCTGTAGTACCAGCTACTTGGGAGGCTGAGGCAGGAGAATGATGTGAACCTGGGAGGCGGAGCTTGCAGTGAGCCGAGATTACATCACTGCACTCCAGCCTAGGCGACAGAGCAAGACTACATCTCAAAAAAAAAAAAAAAACAAAAACTAGCCATTATTCAAAAATTTAGAGTAGTGTATTGATATTATTTGGCTGTGTCTCCACCCAAATCTCATCTTGAACTGTAGTTCCCATAATTCCCACATGTCGTGGGAGGAACCCAGTGGGAGGTAACTTAATTGTGGGGGCGCTTACCTCCATGCTGTTCTCTTGATAGTGAGTTCTCACGGGATCTGATGGTTTTAATAAGGGGCTTTCCCCCTCTTTTGCTCAGCACTTCTCCTTGCTGCCGCCATATGAAGGACATGTCTGTTTCCACTTCTACCATGATTGTAAGTTTCCTGAGGCCTCCCCAGCCATGCTGAACTGTGAGTCAATTAAACCTCTTTCCTTTATAAATTACCCAGTCTCAGGTATTTCTTCACAGCAGTATGAAAATGGATTAATAAACGTATATATCAGTAAAATACATCTGTGGTCTGGATTTTACCTATACTAACCTGTTCTCACCGTACTACATACTTACAGAAGATTATGAACCTTGATAAAGATTCTACAGTCAAGTATCTGGGCCAGCTTGGTTCTCCAAGACCATGTATCCCTATTGTTCTACATCCTTCTCATTCACATAATCAGAAAGGTTTGGAGATTTTTGCTTTGTTTTTCTAATTTTATTTCACTGTTCTATTCTTTTCACTTATTTATTTTAATAGAGATGAGGTCTTACTATGCTGTCCAGGGTGGTCTTGAATGCCTGGCCTCAAGTAATCCTCCCACCTCAGGCCTCCCAAAGTGCTGGAATTAAAGGCATGAGCCACCACGCCCAGTCCTATTCATTTTTGCAATGTCTTTATTATTCCTTAATTTTAATTGCAAACAAAAGACAAAAATAACCAACTTGTTCAAAATTACTCAGTTAATAAGTGGCACGATTATGATCTACACCAAGAGAGTCTGACTCCAAAATCTATTTATCTACTCCTACTCCTAGCTGCCTCCCTATGACTGTCTGGATTCCTGCTCCTTTGCATCATCTGTATCTACATGAGAAGATCCCATCACCTAAAACTCTGCGCCCATTAACAATGAATACTCCTCTCTCATTGCTCCTAAGACACTTAATACATATCTCTAACACAGTCTAAAACATCACATGACAATCACTGATTCACTATTTCCTTTAATTTGTAAACTCCTTAAGACTACTAGGTGTCTTATTTATCTTCTAGTGTCCATAAACATAGTAGATCCCGTGTAGTCCTAATAAATGCCTATTGACTCAATCAATGGGCCCTACCATTCATCTGATATCAATTAACAGAATAGAAGGCATAGTGAGAAGAAAATAATTGCTATCTCTTTGGATGCCCTTGTATTTCCAAATGTACAGTAGTGCTAACCCTCTAGGCCAGAGAAATAATAGTCCAGATTACCTTGGAAAAGTACAGACAGCTCCATCTTCACAGAGCTCTTCACTTGTTATATGGCAGATTGGTCCACATCTATCCTACTATTTGGTACCTCCTGTTACTAAACCAACTGTCAGAAGCTATTTGCTAATCCTATTTTTAAGGCCCAGAAGTACATAACTTGAATACAAACAAAAACCCTCGGTTGAAGAAAAAAAGGGTTCTCCCCACCTCTCACTTCCTGGTGTAGTAATTCGGTAAAAGCGATGTCTTAAATGATGTTTATCTCCATGATAACACACTGTGCACAAATCATAATTTGTACACTCTGCACATTTCCATCGAATGCCAATGATCGGTTGCTGGCGGCAGGTATCACACATGGTTCCATCATGCTTGATGCCTATTAAAACAAGGACACATGCTCTGATTAACCTCAAATTTTATTTATCTGAATATTATTCCTTGGGGGAAAAAAATAAGATCAGAACATTTACAAGATACTCTAATCAACTGGGATATAACACTTCAAATTTAACACATATAGCTTCAAGATAATGGACCTCAACTATTTTAATCAATGCAAGTTATATTTTCCCTTTGCTTCCTTTTTCATTAGTAAGAACACATCTCAGTAACTCTTTCCTCATTCTCATCCACAAACTAGAACTTATGTTCGACACACAGAAAGAAAGAATCCTTTATCACTAAGGAGATGTTTCAGACTACAAAACCTCAGAAATCTTTGAAAGAATTTTCAACTATTTTCTGGGTAAATAATTACTCCAAAAGAAAAGACCATTTTGCCCTTACGATATCATGGAAACAAACTATCAATTAACTTAAGCATTTACTACCCTTAGATATTGACAAGTTTTTCCCATAGTCAAGAAAATTTAGAAAATGACTAGGAAACAAGTTTCCCTATTTTAAAGGAAACAATACACTATAGTGGGGTTTTATCCCCTTAGGGAACAAGAAATAATAAGCTCTAGAAAAAATAAACACTTGGTAAAATGACCTCCACTAAAATTAATCACATGGATGAATGAGACAGACATTAGAACTATAAAAGGTACCAATATAGGTAATGAAAACAACCTTCATTTTCAGGTGAAATAATTGGGGGTAAAACTCCTTTACTATTCTATTGTTATATTAGTATCACTTGTTCAATAAATAAAAACTAGGATTTTTTTTTTTCAACAATATGTGGCTTGTCAACATCAGTGTCACTACTTTATAAACACATCTTGAATGGTCAAGCTCAATGCTGAACAAACAAGGGCTGTATTATCTGTGCAAAAGTGACATTCTCCTGGATTCAAGTTCTGACTCTGTATTTACTTTTACGCCCTTGAAAAGGTCGTTTTATCAGAAGTATTTACATATAAAATAATGTGTGTGTTGTGTTTTTTTTGTGTGTTTGTTTTTGTTTTTCAAAATAATTGCAGGGAGGCAGAGAGAAAGTAAAGTGTGATTCAGGTAAAACAAGATTAGCCATGTTGAAGCTGGGTAATGGGTACATGGGAGTTCATTACATTATCTTTCTCTTTGTATCCATTTAGAACATTTCCATAATTAAATAGAAGAAAGGAGCCCTTTCATTCTCACAGCCTCATCCCCTTTGGAGAATGTAATATATTCTTTAAAGGTGAGACAACATGTTCTAAAAATCAAATAACATGCTACATATGTAAAAACTAGAGTACAAAAGTAGTCACATTACTAACATAATACACTATTGCTACTTCCTGATAAGGAAAAAAAAAAAAACCCTATGTTATTCATTTTCTATATTCAGATAACCAGATTCTAAACAAAGGGCCAAACTTGAGTGTATGCCTGTTTTGAGGGAAAGGGAGGGGAGGGGCAAGGATCAGGAAGGAAGAGGGAGGGAAGGCAGGAAGGAGGGAAGCAGGGAAGGAAGGAGGAAGGAACGAACACCTGAAAGAATTGGGATACTAATGGACTACAAAAAGCCTGATACCCCAACACCAAATATGTTTTATGTGCAATCCTTCTGCAGTCTCCTGCCACATAAATGCCTGACTGTAGGGACAGAAGACAGTGGACACGAGTGTCTACTGATTCATTCAGAACTATTTCTTTATTCCTACTGCAGGCATGCCCTCTGCTGCTTTCAAGTATCACTCTTAGAGCCATGTTCACGCCACTGCACTCCAGCCTGGGCAACTAAGAAAGACTCTAACTCAAAAAAAATTAAAAAATTACAAATCACGCCTGCTGTAGTGTGGAGAAAAAAGATATGAAAAAAGTAAAAACGGCTAGAGAAAGGGAATCAGGTTAAAAGAAGTTAGTAGCAGCCCAGCTAAGATAATGGTAGCTTAAATTAAGGTGATGACAGTAGAAATTGAGAGAAATGGGTTCCAGAGATATTTAGGGCTTGGTAGCTATGGGTCAGGAGACAAAAGATATAGAGGATATAAATGAGAAAGTCTAAACGAGACCATTCAAGAGAAAACAGGTGAAGTATTAGAGATATTTAGCAATTAAACAGTACAGTAAACTGAAATCTAGAACTGCTCTGCTTAAAAACTAGAATGGAGTCACCAACAAAAAATAAGAATATCTAATCAAAAAATACAAGCCCAGGTCTCCATTGATAGAAATTCGCCTGAGAAACTAGAAAAAAGAATCAGGAAAAGTTCCACAGAAATGATGGATGAGTGGAACTTTCAAAGAAAGGAAGAAATCACAGAAAAGCAGAGTATGTTCAATGAACCAGGAACGACTTTGCTTAGCAGAAACATGCAATACAGCCAGAGACCTGGAGATAAATTATAGAGTCAGGCTAGAAATTAACAAGATCAGACATGATTTCTAACCTGTATACAATACGGTATTTAAATTGCTATCTCAAATGGTAAAAACAAGCGTATGTGATTTAAGAATTTACTTGTATAACTTACTATCCACTTAATATTCAAAATCAACTTAAACACTCTGGGGCCAATATTCTCATCTATAAATTAAGAAAACACTTCCTTTCACAAGGAAAGAGACATTGTGAGGCTAAATTGTTAGACACTCCTAGAAACAGAAACTTCATTTAAAAAAAGAAAAAAAATTAAAGTGATAGGTAAACACACTTTGAAAAACTTTAAAGCAAAATATACATATAAAGAATTATACTGCACTTAACTTCATCTTAATATAGATTTAGTAAATTAGTCATCTATTTAAATAATATAATCAGAATCATCAACTATCCCAGACAAATTTTGCAATATTTATACAGAAATCAAAGAGCTTAATGAAAGTTTAAATTTTTCAGAGACTGTATATGGGGAACATTTAATTATTCATCTGTGAATTAAAAGATTAAAAGAAATAAAAACTTCTAAATAGCAATTATATACCGTATTACTAAAGTAACTAAAGTAATTTGAAAGTTGGTTTGTGTAAAGATTTGCTTAGGTTCCTTCATGTTTTTGTTTTTTTTAGTTTAAAGTGATATACACGACATCTCTGATGCTTATACTTCATGTTAAATGCTCCTGCTCACCCAGCTGCTTCCTAGAATTAATATACACTCAGCGTAGAAAACCTGGAAAACCACAAAGGCTAATCCCATCAGCACATCCAGGGAATTATCTTTCTAGTTTTTATATTACATGTATCATACAATTTAGATGCAAAAATGTCACATTGTAGTTTCTTGCAAACTACTTTATAAAATGATATTTTACCATGTCAGTAATAATTCTTCTACAACATGGTTTAATAACTGTATAGAATTTCCCTCTATGGATTAACATAATTTACATATAATAGTCCCATATTTTCAACACTGGTTATGTTAACTTTTTGTCTTTATCTGCCACAAACAAATATCTTTGAATGTGCCTTTTTTAAACATTGAAGGCAGGGTCAAAGTCTGACCACATTTGAAACACTCTGTAAGTGCCTTCTATAGAGATTGTATCCATTTATATTTCCCTTTCAGCAGTATCTGACTGGCTTTCTTGACACATCTTTAGCATGCACTGAAGTAGTATTTTTAATCTGTGCCAATTTGAGAGGAAAAAATTGGTATTTCTTGTTTATTTTCTTTTTTAAATTCTAAAATTAATAACACACTTATCATAAAACTTTAAACAACCCAAAAGCATACAGAACAAAATGTGAAAGTCCCCCGTCATCATGCACTCCCACCCACTGTTAGCAGTTTGGTGGGGGTTTCCAGATTGTTCTGGGTACACATTTTCTATGTGTGCTCTCATCGGCGTGTGTGTGACTTCTGAGGCTTCATGCTTAGAAAGACTTTCCTTAAAATGGTAAAATATACTATTCAATTCTTAACCTAGCACTTTTATGGTTTTCTCAGAACTGGCTCAGAGCTCCCAGTGCAGGCAGGTTGTGAATCCTGAGGGGAAAGAGAGTGACAGACAGACACAGACAGACAAGCGACATCTGCCTTGCCTTTTGTGACCAAACCTCAGAATTCACAGTGTTACTTCCTCTTTACTCTATTAATTGAGGCAGTTACAAATGTCTACCCAGGTCCACTGAGGGAGGGAAGCAGCCTCTTGAGGTGGAATATCATTGTCTCCTAAGCAGAGCACGTGGGATGGGATGTAGATTGGTGCGGCCATCTTTGAAAAATACCATCTGGCATGCCTCTCCTCCATTTTAAATATAACTTGGTTTTCCAGGAATAGAACTGTGTATAATGCCTATATAAAACAGGGGTATGCCTGTATTTCAGCATTAAAATGTGAATTTAAAAAAACTAATTAAATGGATTGTTATAGTTGGCATTTCTCTTTAAAAATGGCAGTTCTATGAAAATTTAATATTCAGTTTAATAGCCCTGCACCAGACAACTATGACAGTTCTTCAAAATCTTTTTGTTTACGGGTTTCACAATTTACCTTTAAAAAAAGAAAAAAGAAAAAGAAAACTTTGTGTGACCTAGAATAGTTCTGTATCTAATTTTGTAAACTTTTGATATTTGGGTTAGAAGCAATAATATAGAAATAATTATAGAATTATTTTTCCAAAATGGCCATTATATGGAATTGATTACATATTGATTTAAAGCAACCTCACTGCCACACGCCTAAAGTTAAGATTCTAATAACCGTATCTGTTTTAGCACAGGAAAGCTGACGAAAAATATCACAATTAATATCAAATACCAATCATAGTAAATGTCCACAAAATGGCTAAGTTTCTGAACAAGGTCTAAAATAAATCTGATTTAGTTCCATCATCACAAAAAAGTAAAATGCACTAAACAAATCAGTACTCACTACACACTTAAGCAGTTTATCCTGAATTTATCCTGAATTAACTGTGCAGCTCTTCAAATGTGACTTGGTTGATGAAAGACGTAGGGAGAATGTATCGCCAACTACCCCACTCAACAACAACAGA